GTGTGCGGTTTCAGCAATCAATGGCACAACACGGGAACTTGCTTTATGCTTATTTGTTGCTGAAGATAGCGCCCGATAACATCCAGCATCGCTTTAAATATAATTATCGTTTACTTATCGTCGGGTAAGAAGGCACAATTTGGGGCTAGGTTGTCCAAAGTGCAACCATTAAATTTTACAAAAATCATCATTTTTTCTGCACCGTATCAGCTCTAAAGTGGGCAAATGGGAACTGAGAATGACTGCTTGTGTTTGCCGCTTCTGCTCAATATTTAGTTTAATGTCTGCAGATTAAGTCTTTGCTTCCATTTAAGAATTTATAATCGGTAAAATCTTGGGATAGATCTGAGAGCTTTCATTATTTTTTTATTTGCAAATATTTTCTTAACAGTAATGAACAACAAGGCAGGCGAATTTTGCGCTCGAAAATCAGCAATCCATATGAATGCCATTGAAGAAAAGAATATTTAGTTGGCTAAAAAATAAATGGCGCTCAAATAATTTTTATCAACCGGTTAAAGTAGCACCAGTAAAACCGGTCTATAATGTTCTGGCAATATTCTGAATTAAAACAAGTCAAAATCACTCTATTTACGATGATTTGAGGAAATAATCAACATTTGTCATTTAACATTTTTTATTAGTATGTTAATTTGCTTGTTCTCCTCTTGTGTTAAACTATGGTTGTAAACTTCTCTTATGTTTTTAATGTGCCCTAGGATTTACTCAAAATCACTCTTTAAGCCCTGCTCATTATTTACACATTTTCAGACGTGACCCTGTACGCAAACGGTTACTGTCTATTTTTATTTTTGTTCATTTATTCAATATCCTTCTTGTACGTTCTTTTTTTGCTTTTTATCTAGACTGGTTGGTTAATATCTACTGACGGTATTTTATACAAATAAATTTTCTCTAGGTGACACTCAATTACAATATTTCTCATTCGGCTCAATTTGATCTTCATTAATTGGTAGCAAGGCTTTGATTGATTGCGCTTCAAACTTACCACAGAGGCACATGCCTTGATAACTTGAATAAACTTTGTACAGGATAAAGAAGACAAATGGAGCAGGTAATTTTTTAGTCAATGCTGCTTTGCAGATTTTAGTGTTTCAGTTTTCTTAGTAACTTTTGAATTTCAAGCAAATCAGGTTTGTCTTCTGAATTTTGTACCTTTTTCGATAATTATTTAGCATTGTAGTTTTGTCTTTTAACGTAATTGGTTTTATACATTTTCAATTTTTTGAAGGCTGTAGTATGTAGGCTTTTGCCAATTAATTGCTTTTGCTCTAATTTTTCTATTGTTCCAAATCGTAATCGTTCCAAAAACTAATCGTGCATATGGCAACAAAATATAGAATTAATAGCAATTTGAATTGGCACAAAGCGCGCAAACACGACTAGCAAACACCTCAAAGTCCGTTTTTTTAACTATGCAAACAAAATTTACTTCACTGATATTCACGTGTTAAAATATTGATTTCATACCACAAAAAGCATTTATAAAGATCAAATAGCCGATAATTACATATAATATTCCTAAAGCACACAGACGAAGTTAAAGAAATGTATACTGGCCACAACATTGTAAAATATATATTTATTAAAACATAATATAATTTAGACATAAGAATAAATTTAAAGGCTTTAAGAAAGTTCGTTTAAATTCTTCATAGACTTTTATATTGAATGCGTGTCATAATTAGCATCTAACGGTTTAAAATTTTGTTCAGTAAAAAAATTACTTTACCGACCTGTTTTTTTTTTACAAAAACTCCTCATATTGAAAGTAAATTATTATTTATTATTACAAGCGCAGAATTTTGAAACACTTAAATGTCCTCTTAAACTAAAATATGTTGTTTGCAAAACATCGCTGAAAAATTAACCTTTTGCTAACCATAGCAAGAAGGGCTCTACCTACCTATTCGTAAACCCCCATAACAATGATTTTCCTTGATACTCCTGAACCAACATACTTACTTTCTTGTAGACATTGCATCCTCAATTTTGCAATGCATTTTCTCCTTTAAATTACCTAAAACACCCTGAAAAAAGCCCTCCATAAAAAAATTGGCAAACTCGTTTTTGGTCCTTCGTTCAAACACCGTAACCCGTCGATTGTTTCCTATTGAAACTATCCAACATTTTCATGGCAGAGAACTCGCACAATTTCAGCCTCGAGTGTTGAAATTGTTTAATAACATATCATTAAGAAACCGAAAAATTAGCCGACTAATTAATTGTTCTGTTGACCTTTGAGCGGCCAGGAATTCTTGAACTCTTGATTAGTTCGTAATGTAACACTCACAATTAAGAACAACTCTACTAATTGTAGGTTGTTAAAAGGTTTTTTTTTTTAATTTACGATCGATAGGTAGATAGTACTTTCTAGGTGAAAAGGTTTTTTTCGAGATTTTATCATCTACTGCCTGAAGTAACAGTGGTAGATTTCGTATCTGTTAGTTGGTGGTACTTAGTATAGGTGCCAGATGCTTAATAGTAGACTAAAAAATTGTATTGTTGACTGGTACTTAGTGCTCTGTTTGGATTATAAATAAAATAAGAATTTTGCGCGTGAAACGCTTTCAGTCGAATGCCATTAAACAACTTAGGACCGAATAATTACCAGCACGTTAAGGCTAAGGTTTAGCACATGCTAGTTCCGAATTGGACCATAAATCTGGTCATTTAGTCTAGTGGAATTTCAATGCCAGAAAAAGTTTGCCAATTTTTTTTGAACGAAATGGTTTGGGATTGGGAGGCGCGCCATTAATTCAATTCAAACTCAGGTTCCTAATAATTCATTTTATTGTTAATTTTGAGAGATAACATCTTACATCACACTTAGTATATCTTAACTAACAAAAAGACAGTAATAGATTTACTGATCGATTTAGTGCATTGTGACAATTTTAAAATATTCGATATCACGGAGTGGATTGATGGGAATTTTCGCGTGTAGCTGCTCACAATCTTCATTTTTTTTCATAATTTATTTATTCAAATTCAATTTCAAACTGCTTCAAATCAATTTACCAGGATTTGCGTTTGATTTGACTTCTGCCATATTTGGGCAATTTTTCCGATGCACCGTTTATAAATGCGAGCAAAATTATAAAAAAAATGAAAGCCACAATTTGATAATATTTGGATTTTAAGAGGTAAATTGAGAGCCTAAGCAACGTTGACTGAAGGCCAAAATGTGTCTTTTCCAAACGGTTTTTGATTTGTGGTACTAGAAATAATCAAGAAGAATACCCAATATCTCAAATCAGACACTAACTTAAAAAACTGCAATTTTGTCAAAGACCATTCATTTGTTGTATCGAGAAGTTTCACGAAGCTAACTTTTAAGGTACTTTCTGCACTGAGTAAATGGTGCAGCAAAATTCTAAAATTCCTCTCAAATAACAAATACAAATTTCGATTTTAGTACCAAAAATTTTAACTTTGCCCTTTTGAGAGAAGACAAAGCGAATTTTCTTGCAATTTGATGCGAATCTCCGGTCAAAATTGAAAAGTGAATAGTTTGGAACTAGTGCTCTATCTCTGAACCGCTCTACAGTCTGAACTTAAGTCACCCTGTAGTAAATAGGTACAAAAAAAACATATCAAGCAAATGGAAAAGTGTTTGTTTTGGATAACGATTAATTTTGTATAAAAAAAACCATCCTGAGGCCAACGCTTTGACTACCAGACTTCTAAAACCAAAAGAGCAAATTTAAAAATTTTAACTAAGAAAATTCAAAACGTTCAATTGCAAGAATAAATGAGAAAAGCAAAACTTTCATTATTGTTGCAATTAGAAGCCAGCAGATTTTCAAAGATTCAGTAAAATCCATTTTAGATATATTTTTTTAAATTTTCTGTTTATTTTTGAAAAATAATCGTTCGCTGGTGGAATTTAGTGCCTGTTGAGCCATTTGAACATTGTGCATGTGAAGTTGTTGCGATTTAATGCCGCCCATCATCCACTGAACCAACATCTCAAAATGTACACCTCGAATATACCAAAATTCTCATTTTATTTAACTATATAATTATTTTGTTAAATAATATAAATTAACTAGGAATTTAGTTAAATAAAACATATCTACTCTATTCGCAATGGCACATTTACGCTAACTCCAGCTGACAGATAACAAAATCCATCACTGCCACTTATAGCGGAACAGAACCATATTTTCTGTTATGGTGTGCCCCTGGTAGTAACGCTGACGTAAAAGTACTCTTCGCACCCATCAGAATACCATTAACCCGCGCTGTAGTACGAATCTGTACAGTTTTTACATGTTATATTACAGCTTGATTTTGCCTTAATGCGTTTCAGCGCTGTACCAGGACTTGCCAAAAAAACAATTAGCTGTTTCGCCAAGTGAATCTGATAGGTGCACAGAGAGCTTTCACCATTAAGTTGTAGATATAGACACGCATAAGACACCATTAACTTTAACTTAGTATGAAAACGACGTATTTTCAGTTTGATTGAATATTTTACAGTTATGTACAGGGTTCACTCTTTAGAAAAACTAATCATGGAAAAACATATAGCCGATATGTTCGCACCGGCGAGTACAGCGCTCGTCTCTAATAATTATATACACAGTGAAACTGTACAAAACGATTTTTTGCCATTATTAAAAATCTAAACTATCTAGGAGTAAAGAGATCAAGATACTGCAGGATTTGTCCAAATTACGTTTAAAGCTAAGCTCTCAAAAACTATATTACAGCTCGATAGTGTAGGGAATAATGAGTCAGTGCCAGGTCTACGATACATGTCGGCACTTCGCAAACAAACAAAAAAAATCAAAATAATACATTTCGTCAACAAACTAAACTTAATCGAACCGATATTAGAAAATAGCCTTTACACAGAAAACAATGTTAATAGTCCTCTAAACAACGTAACGCATCTTAACTCTTATGCGTGGCCGCCAAGTAAATATAGTACTGTGCCAAACTTAGTAAATATACCATATTGCTATTGGTACCTTTTTCGTAGTTGATTTGCCGCTCCTGCTGTCGGGCATTATCGGCCGCCACTTTGAGCAGACCCTGTATATTTCGGAGCAGAGTTTCAGTCGAAGATATACCGGGATCGGGTAAAGGCCCGTTTGCACTCGCAACAGCACTCGCAAGAGTCGAGTAATTAAGGGCGGCTTGTTGCGAGTCGCTACCAGGCGCTGCTGGCAGTGGCAGATCACCATCATCCATATCTGAAAAAAAATGAAAAATTAATTTTCCCTAATTCTACACTGTGTCGTTTTCCGCCTAATATTTTGAGCAAATTGTCCTCAATTTCCAAGGGCAGAAGTGAGTGTTGAGGGTATAGGTTTGATTGCAGGAGAAAATGTGTTTAAGCTCCCAGTCGGTATTGGCACAAAGAGCTTTGTTTCTTCTAAATTTGTCCAAAAAGAATACAGTTTTTATATAATACAGGTTTTTTCACCATTTTTCAGTAAAAAAAATTGAAGATGTTGCTACAAGCTACGAAAGCTTGATGATGTGACCGACAACAGAGCACATTTTCTACTGCTGAAGAGATTTTAGGGTGGCAATACCACCTACTTTATAAAATTCCATATTAAACTAAAACGAACATAAACCGACAATCCAGACAAACCGAACTTTACAACTTCGGCAGGCTCTTAGCGTGGTCAAAAGGCTCTTTCAACATAGAATGGACTCAAAAACGAAATGTATTTAAAAATCGAATAGGCTCTAGAGCACTTCCAAGTTCCACGCAGCTCATTACAAAATGTTTTCTTAACCGCTTTTAATCATTTTGCTGCTGTTTAAGCTTGCACAATTTTCTTCTTTCTTAGGTCGTGCGTTAACTCTTTTTTACAGTGATTTTGTCAAACTTTGAGCCTTTATGAAAAAATTATTTATTATTTTTAATTATAAAATTTTATTTCCTGATCGCTGCTCAGAAGGGGTCCTTCAGTTTATCTAGGCTTTTTAGCGAAGAAAATAGTGTCAGCTCTTTCGTGTTGCAAGTTGCTAAAACCATCAGTCACAACATTTCAAAAGCTTTCTTTATTCTAAAGAAATTTTGCAGTAGCGATGTAGCCAATGTTCTACAATTTCTCATAATTCCATATCAATCTCCCACTTAATAATTCCCGCATGCTTTTGCAGCATTATAGAATGAATAAATAATAGAGAATAGAAAATAATAAAATCTTTACTTAATCGATTATTGCTGTTCTTTTTTTTTTCATTGTAATTATTTTGTTTCTTTGGTTTTTTGGCCCTGCACCATTTACGGATTTGTGTTTGACAAGGAATTTATTCTGTATATTTTCTGAACATTTTTTCCTTCTTCTTATATCGTGCGATAATTTTTCGCTGTGTTTTCATCAAACTTTCAAAGCCTTTGGACAATCATCACGTATTATTAAAAGCCTACATGTGATTGAAAAAAAATATGTCCTGGTTGCTGATCAAAAAGGGTGCTTCAATTTATTCAAGCTTTTTTGAGAAGAAAACCTTTTCCGATTTGCCAAGTTGCTAAAACCAATGTTCTAAAATTTCTCATAATTTCTTACCAATTTCCAGCTTTATTCACTTTTCAAAAAAACCGCTTTTGCTTCAGACCGATAACATGTCGATTCAATCCAATATGCGCTGGAGCAGTTCTAGCTGCTCAATAAAGAAAATTCTATTTTTCTTGTGTTTAAGTTTGCCCCACAGATTTGTATTTGGCAACTGAAGTAAATATTTTTATCCTTTTTTTTGTTTAATTATTATTGTAGGGCTTTATGAATATTTCAGTGTCTTCACAAAAACAGGAGCGATTGTTGAATTCCTGCATGTGATTGAAACACAAAATCGTTAACCCCTGTTTGTCACTCAAAAGTGAAGCTTTATTTTTAAATTTATCTAAGCTTTTTGGATAGAAAAACAGCTTCAGCTTTTTTATATCGCCCAGTGGTCAAAACCATCCATTATTCATCATCAAAGTCGCATATTTCCTACATTTAACAGACATGCTGACTGCCATAAGAATATATTTTTTTAGTTATGAGATTTTCCTGTTGCTATGTAGCCAATGATCTAAAATTCCTCATAATTTTTGATAAATATTCAGCTTTATAACTTCGGCATGCTCGTAGCGCAGTTAAAAAAACTTCAATATTTTCCCTGATTTGGAATAGAAATCGAGTAAAATCGAGCTGTCGTTGACTTAAGGATCAAGAGATGAAACGCAACTTCGAATATACATACAGAAAATCCAAAATGCATCGCATAAAAGTCAAATGCACAAAAAAAATTCGGCTGCAAAATTACATCTACTTCAAATTTTGGAGTTTTAACAAAGATATAAAACTGCAAAATGAGACCACCGAACTCTTTCTGATTTTGATTGCCCCCTAAAATGTTCCTAAGTGTTTTCCAAATATTTTTTTTCAAATTTATGGCGCATTATTCGTTCTCAAAACGCCACCCTGTAATAATTGACTTGACAAAATCACAATCTAATATATTATCTACACTTGGTACAATGAACGGATGTAAATAACTATTAAATGTCCAAAATAGCCATTAAAAGAATTGAAAGTTTAGAAAAAGCGTTAATATAACCGCATTAAGCCGGCCAGAATCAACCAAACTTTGACTGAAACTACTATTTCTTCGTCATTGTTTGCTTTAAAATGATTTCTGCAGTCCGATGCTTCTCGAAACGCCGGCAAATTGCATCTAATAGATCACATTTTTTTGTTTCTGATTGCTCGATATAATAAAGTCTAACTTTCTGTTTTTTTATTATTTTGCTATTAACTTAAAAAAATAAATGAAACATTCGATGAAGCTAAAACGAGAAATTTTCCTATTCCTATTGATGTGCTGTGTCTAGCGGTTTCTATTCCATTTCAAATTTAGAAAAACGTTGCCCGCTGATGAGGAGAAAACGTTCTTTTCAGCCAAATGCTCCAAACCTACCTGGATTATTTCCAATTAAAACCCAACTTCAATTCATACAGTAAACTATTGATGCGAATTTAAATTTAATAGTAATTTAACTGCTTTCTAACAATAAAATTTCCTGAAAATTGCAAAATAATACTGAAATTAAAAACGAATTTAAACGTCTAATCGCGGTTGTAATGAATAGTTCGTCTTTGAACGAGAATAATAACTCAATGTCGTTTCAGTATAGGAAATAGATAATAACACCAATTAAAGAGCCGTCATAGATTAAAGGAAAATTGATGTAAACTGTACTCGTACAACCCAATACTTATAGCACGATTAATTGCTATTAATGTCCCGGAATGAAATTTCAATTCGCAATCAGACGAAACGAAAATTTATATTAGGGAAAATTGCAATCGAGCAAGAATGACCGTAGTTTTTGAACAGTTTCTCCTGTACACACAAGTTCAATAAATCAAACCCGGCCCAGGCCCAGGCAAGTAAGCCATCAAAATGTTGAATAAGGAGAGAGCATGTCAAGAAGCTATCTATATCTGCTTGAGGCCGCTTTAACAACATTCCCATCTCATTTTTCCCATGACTGAAAACAAACAAATTAGCCCAACATATTTCACGACGGTCATGAGATACTGAACTTCGTAATGCGGCTCAAGCATGAAAATTGATTTATATTTCGTTAAACGATTTGCTTATTACATGGATGGGTCGAAGAAGTGAAAGAACATGGAAACGTATTTTAAGCGGGCAATCAAATCATTGCTAATCGATGAAACACAACACGACTTCGTACCTTGATCTTTCTCCTCTTCATCTTCGGGTTCCGAAATGTTGTCCTCCTCATCGTCTTCCACAGCGGATCGAGGCGATCGAGGCGATGGAGGCACGTCGGGACCATCTGCTTCACTTTCAGAATGATCGTTGTCTCCTAAAGAGCCGGCACTGCCTCCACCACTTTTTGATAAGTTCAGAACTGGACTATGATCTGTAGGAGAACCTGCAAAAATAATACAGGTTGCTTGAAAAGGGGCGTTTTTCTTCTAGAAGTGTTGTAGAGAGTGATTTCCAAGTTTTTTGCTTGAAACTGAGGTATTTACAAAGGGGAGGAGGTTTCTTAGGTCCAGTTTCAAAAATGTACTTTTGGTCCATGTTTCTCAGTCCAACGGTTTCGGAAATACTCTAGACATTCTAGTTTCTGTACATGTGCACGATGAAATTTCATTACGTCTACTATGCACGTGTTGGAGTTAAAGCAACAATTAATGAAACCAGGGTACATTTGGTGCAATAAATCTTGCGGTAAAAAGGGCTCCGGATTGATGCGGAATCTGACATAAAACCGAAGTAAAATCGGTTTTATTTTCTGCATATGCGTATTTAATTGTGACCCAGCCGGAAATTTATGGGCAAGCCGATCGGTTCGTGTTGCGTCCGAACTCTAAAATCCCACTTTTACGGCCATTAATTAAATCGCCTGCAAGTTAGACCAACGCTGGCCCGATAGTTAACTTTTTATTTATTTTGTATTGATCGCAATATGAAGGCATCCCGCTGTCGAACCTAAAGATTAATGTAAAATATTGCGGGTTAAATTGCAAACACTCTTTTCTTAGCATTGGTCAGTGCTTGGAAGGGTATCGAAAAAATTCAGCTTGTTGTGGTTATTAGCGATAATGAGAGTGTCAGCAGGATTGTGTTATTAACGCGTTTCAAATTGGAATAATAATTAAAATTACCTGGGGGATATTGTTGGATGAGAGTGTTGCAATTTTATACAGTCGTGATTATAACTCTATCATTAATATTCGATTTTTAAGAATCGAATAATGTGTTGAAAGTTCAATTAAAACCATCTTCTAGAATCTGCTTCATTCATTTCACTTTTCACTGATGTCTGGAAAATAGTGTTTGGAACACTCGAATGTCCGAAAATTTTCAAATTTCAAAACGTAATTTGTGGTCTTTTCACGAAAAGTACAAGAAGACAATTTTAAATCAATCAAATTTCTCACGGTAAAGTTCAAGAGAAAGGTGGAAGACAACTTTTACGACTAAATAAAATATATCAAAAGAGATAGACTTTCGAGGCCATTCCTTGAAACTAATGGGTTTTTCGGGTTTTTAGGACGTCGTCGGTTAGCGTTTTAAAAAATTCTCTGAACACTATACAGGGTGTTTATTTATTCATGCTTTCAGGATTTTTAACGTCATTTTACGAGACTGCTAACTTAAGCTTCAATCGATTTGCAAGACATGTTTTTCGGGATTCTACTTGACTGAAAATTACATAATCAAATTCGGGTTTCATCGGAAGCTTTTTGATGTCTGGTAGTTGTTTTTTTTCGTGTCTCCTACCGTGATGGAGAAAGCAAGTAGAAAACGAGAAAACCGAACGCTTAAGAGAGGAAAAATACCTTGGTCAAAAAAAAATCACCGAAAAAAATTGTCAACAATCGAAAAAGTCGCGTTACTAACTTTAAATGAATTAGTCAGGAAAGAAAACACAACCGTCCGTATGCAACTGATATTTAAGTACACCCTGTATATACAAGGTGAGTAAAATATAATTAAACATAATTTAACGTTTAAAAATAATTAGCTATTTTGGATTTGCGGCTCTTGCTATAAAACATTTATTTCAAAAAACTTTTAGATGAGGAAATGATAAATGCCTGAGATGAACAAATTCCGAAATCTGTACAGGCTTACATTGGTTATGAAATTGTTGAAAATAAACATTTTTTCAACACGTAGTTCTTTATAGGGCAATTTAGGATGCTGCTAACAAGTGCAAGTTTTATGAACTTTTTCATTAGCATTGATAAATGATTATTTACTATCATTTTTATTACCGTCAATGACCATTAAACTTACCATTTCTGGGACTACTGAGGTCTCTAGGTTTCTGATCTAAAGTCATTGGTCTGTCTGGATCGCATCGTTCCTCTCTCAACCTGCAACAAATAAAGAGTATTTCACTATTTTCCTATAAAACTTCACAGCCATATTCTAATTCAATTTCACCGACTTAACAAGCAAATTTTGTATGGGCAAATCAGATTTATTACAAAATATCGCTTTTCTGTACATCTCTTTAGAAGAGGGTCATTTTGACTTGGCAAAGTTTCCCATACGGATTATTCGGCTCCATATTCCGGGCACGTAGAGGCAGACCAAAAACTTTCCCACTTTGATTCGAACGGTAATTTGAAAGCCGATATCAAAAATCTTTCGCCATGTCGGGATACATTTATCAAGAAAACAAGATACGTCACACTAACACATGTACGATGATGCCGAAAAAAAAGCAGGGGATGCGGATGGCTTCGAAAACTCGATCAATCATCGAAACGTTTTGTATGAAATTGAAAATTTTATACGTGATAACACATTTTTCTTTCGATGTTATTGAGTTGCCAATGTTAGGGGTAAGACGGTGATTCGTCTGATCCATTTACCAATATTTTTGCAGAAATTTTCGGTTCTTTTGTTTGGAAAACTCGAGAGACGTTCTCAATTCTTAAATCAAGCAAAGTCTTTAATTATTCTGAAAACACTTTTTCATTGTTTTTGACGATATATTTTTTGTGTGAGTCAACGCTGTGCGTCCCAAAAGTCATAAAGAGTTTCTTAGAGTGTAACACTGGATCTTTGAGGAACAGTAAAAGACATTGCCAACAGTAGGAAGAGGTAACTGATAATAAAGTTACACATGAGAAATTGTGGATAAGTTCTATATTGTTCAGGCGGATTCATTTTTTTACAAACTTCTTTTTGGGTATTTCGCCTCAAAAATGTTTGTCTTTAAAAAGACAGAATTTTCTCACGTCTTTTATTACAGATTGATAAATAGTGCTCCTATTTCGCAATAAGAACGAATTATTTATCAAAAAGTAATCAAGAACTATCACCTAGAGGGTATCCTGCGACACACTTAGGCTCAAGCTGTAAAAGAAAATTCCAACTAGTAGAGACATCAATTTGAAAAATTACCTTGACGTTTCGATAGCTATTTTCTGCTATCGTTATCAAAAGAACCTAAATGAACGTAAAAAAGAGTATGTTAATAAATTGTGTAACAATAGTAGGATAATACAGTATATGAATATTCGCTCTGATAATTAGTCTGTGCAAATTGTCAGTTATGTGACTTTGCAATGACAATTTGCACAGACGAATTTTCATATATTGTATTATCCTACTATTGTTACACAATTTATTAACATACTCTTTTTTAGGTTCATTTAGGTTCTTTTGATAACGATAGCA